ATAATAACTATCCTCTGTGCTACAGTAAGACGACACACACAACAGCTTTAAATTCAATTAATTCCCATTGTATCTTCACATGTCATTCTAATCTGCTGTATTTGACTAGTTTTGTATGTCTGTTGTTGTCAGAGAGCTTCATTCATGTGAGTCCTGCTGAAATGTCCTGGGAAGATGCTATGAATTACTGCAGCTCTCAGTTTTCTGGAGCTCTGTGTCTGGAGTCTGAGAACGATCAGACAGAAACGCAGCGAGAGTTAAACAGAAATAATATCTCTGCTCCAGTTTGGGTGGGTCTCAGACAGAGCTGTCCTTTCGGATTCTGGATGTGGATCAATGGTCTTGAAGTGGGAAACTGGACAAACTGGAGAGGAGGAAAGGCTCCTGAAGCTGCGCTTTCTCAACACTGCGCTGCCATGGAGAAGGTGAACGGACGATACACACTGACTGATAAAGACTGCAGGTCTACATTCAGAGTTGTGTGTGAGACGCAGTAATTTACCACTTTTTACTGTCTTATTTTATATTGAACAGTTTTTAGGAGCTCCTTCTATTAATAGTGAACAGCTCAATCATGTGTGTCTTTAGAATAAACTTGTAGTTAGCAGTAATCTCTCAGCTACTTGAGAAACCTTGTGTGCTGTTGGCTTTCTTTGACTGATCATATTTATTTCTTTGGTTCATTTTCATTTATTGTCAATTCACATGTAAAACTTTATAGTAAAAGTGAATATTAAAAGTTGTTAATTAATATACCACACATCACATCCTATTTCTGCATATATTGTCTTGAGTTGTCTTTGTATCATCTCACATTAAATAAAGCATTTTAATAAAGAAATTTTTTTTATTATTTTATATTCAATAAGAAATGTTTTTTATTGACTTTTTTTATCAGCTAAATAAATGAATGAATGAATGAATGAATCATTACATTAGCAGAATTTTAGTTATTTGAATTAATAGGAAAAGGAATGGGTTATTTAATAAATTTTATTATATTTATATTTGTTGCTTTAAAAATCTCTGAAATTATGTGCATATTGACAGTAGAGATGAAACGATTAACCGATTTCACTATTAACTCTGCTTTAATTCATCACAGTTAATTAATCGTAAAGGCTTCTCAACACTGCGTTTCTGCACTGTACAAAACAACTGCAACTAAACAAAAGTTATGCCAACTGTGCACTAGTTTAAAGTTTGGAGCTTGTGTGCGAGGATAATATGCACCCACACTGAATTAAAGGCTGATTTTAACTATGGCTGAGGCTATCAAAAAGGGGCTGTTCACATATCTAATCTTTTGTATGTGCAAGTTTGTCATTTCCAATGGAAGCGCGCGGCTTGTGTATCTATCCCACAGAGAAAAAGAAACATACAAAATGAAAAAAACAAGACCAAACAAGTTCATAATATAGTTGATCAAAAGTGCCTTGCAGACAGATTCAGCAGCCTTTGACTAGATTTGTTTTCCTTAAAAGGGGAATACTGAGCTAATATGTAGCTTAGATTTACATTAGCCAAATATATATATTTTTTATTCGTATTAAATTTTTAAAATGTATTCTTATTTTTATTTATTTATTTATTTATTTATTTTATTTATTTATTTATTTATTTATTTATTTATTTATTTATTTATTTATTTATTCATTCATTCATTCATTCATTGTTTTGTGATTTATTTTCTGTGTAAAATTATTAATTGTCAAAACCTTTTTCCACTTTTTTTTTGTCCAAAGAGAAATGGACTTTTGTTTTTTTTTATTATTATTTTGTGCTGTATTAATTTGTTACTGAGCATCAATAAATAATACTTTAAAATATATAGAGTTTCATGTATTGTTCTAAACTAGAAACATTTTAAAAATTAAGGAATGCATAATAATTGTAATAACCATGAAATCGGGATTATTCATCAGACTATAACTGTACAATCAAAAACTATAATCCTTGCATCCCTAATTGACAGCAACTAAATATTTCTTTATAAAAATCAACAGACTTTTAAATGTTATGATTATGAATCATTGAAGTTCACAAAATGCTAAATTCAAAACACGTTTTATTTTGATTGCATTTTACCAAGTTATTATAATCATATTAAAGATTACATTATTTTTAACTCTGAACATCATCCTCTAAATGTATTAATTTGCTGTATCGGGTTTTGCTGATGAATTTGCCATTAAGATGTCCTTATAGTAATGGATTTACAATTTAAGTTATGATGATGATGATTTGTAAAAATATACAGTACATCTAAAAAGCTTGTTTTAGATGCTGTCAACTTGTTAATTTCTGTGTCTGAACGTATAAAATAAAGATATAAATGCATAAGGTGAAACACATCATGACAACACTAATTTGGAATCAGCATCACTCTTTTAGAGTCTTTATAAATCATGAAACCCCTTTAAAGTCATGAGGTCTTTCTGACTGAGACTGTGAATGGTTTAATGGTGATGCAGCATTGCATTTATTGACAATCATATCTAGTGCTGAGACCGAAGAAAAGATGCACTTTCGTCAGCGTGAGATTAAATAACAGGAGATACACAGGTTTGATCAGTTATAATCTGCTGTTTGAGCAAATCCAGAAGCATCAGTGATGTAGAGAAGAAACTATTTGGTTAGGGTAAAGGACCCATCACTCTAATAAAGCATAATTGTTTTAAGCTTGTAAAAAAACTAAATAAATAATTAAATATATATTTATATATACTGTAGTCAACATTTGAAGTGGGTCAAAAATATTTTTTCAATACTGTCCTTAGACAAGACTCAGTGCTGTTGAATAGTTTTCAGAGCACTTTAATTAAAGGTTTGATTCACTTTAAATGTTGACTACTGTATAAATATGTTTGACATGATCCGAGAGTCTCAGATTTGTGTTGGAAAAAGATTACGAAAAGATCATTACTTCTGTTTTACATAGTACTAAAGCACAACAACAGCTTGTTTACGTTAGATTTGATGGACATTAAGCTTTTTAGTCAGTGAAAGTCAGGGACTTTAATATTAAGCTTGGACCATGAGTGTCCTGTCAAGAGTATAGACTTGCTTTTGATATTGATGGAGACCTGCAATGTCTGGCGAAAATGATTAATATGTTCTTAGGTTGAAACAAAATGCAATATAACATAAAGACCTGCTTTATCTTAAAATAATTAATAATATTTAATTTAATTAATAACTAATAAAATAATAAATAAATAATGAAATAATTTGTATTTTAAACATTACACAACAGAGTAAACATTAATTCAGATTTTAAAGTCTTGTTTACTGGGGGAAAAAGACAATAAATTAATTCATAGGAGAGTTGATTCAGAGATCAAGCAAAATAGCAGAACACGTAAAGTAATTTTTCTGTATTTTAAAAAATATAATCATAAAAATTAAGTGACTCAAAAGGACAGTCATCCAAAATTATTTAGCAAATTATTAATTCATTCATTCATCCTATTTCTTTTCAGTTTAGTCACTTTATTAATCAGGGGTTGCCACAGAATGAACCGTCAACTTATCCAGCATATGTTTTACGCAGCAGATGCCCTTCCACCTGCAACCCAACACTGGGAAACAACTGGGAAACACCAACACAATCTTCAGTTTTCCTCCTTTACAATATTAAGTGTCTTTCAACACGTTAAAGTAATGAACTGTAAAACAAACTATACTAAATAATAATCTTGGTTTACCTTGGAATTGAGTTGTATTTTTCAGACACCAATCTGCAAATTTTTAGCCCTAGGCACAAACTTTCTTAAATTGTAATATATGGGGGAAATAGGTGTAGTTAAATCAAATCTAGAAATATAAATATATTCAGCATAATTAAGGAATGCACATTTCAAACAGGAAGCTGTCTATCTGTCTGTCTGCCTGCCTGCATGTCTGTCTGCCTGTCTGCCTGTCTGCCTATATGTCTGTCTGTCTATCACATCACTATCCCATCACATCACTCCTATAATGAATATGGGGAGATAATAAAGATATTGAATATGGATAAGTTTTGTTTATGTAAACACCGAATGAACAGAAACAGCATTGAGGATCAGGAGGACGGGGGGTTTTATTTTGCACATTTGAATTTATTGGATTACGGAAAAACTGCTTCATGATCTATTCAGCATTCAAAACAGCTTCAGGTATTTATTATTATTCCTATATAGAGGTTAAAAACCACACGAGGGAATAATTTGCATTTTTTGGGTGAACTATCCCTTTAATGAGCAGTGCTGTGACTCAACATACAAGATATACAAATGTGATTTATAGACTTTAAGACTGAACTGAAGCTACTGTTTAACTTCAGTCATCCAGAAGGAGCATTACAGCTTCAGCACATTCTCAGAAGAGATCAGCTTAGCAGGTAAGACTGACAGCACTTTCATACCTTTAATTACAATCAAACTGACAGAAAATAGAAAATAACTAGAGCACTTGAATATTTATCGAAGCAATTCTGGTTGAAAATGCAAGCGTTTTGCTATATTTTGGATTTGATTATTAAACTGTTAAACTGTATAGCTTAAAGGGATAGTTCACTGTAAAATAAATATATACATGTCACCCACAGGTGGTTGCAAACCTGTTTAAGCTTCTGATAGATGCAAAATAAGAAGAATTTTGGAACCTGCAGCCATTGACTTGCATAGTAAAAAAACAAATAATATAAAAATAAAAGCAACCAGTTTTTAACATTTTCAAAATGTAATATATGTAAAATAAATAAAGTATTATAAGACAATACAATTTCAACTTCAGTGATATAAAGTTTATTATTGAAAACAGAGGAAGGTGTATTCTTTGACTTGTCATTTTCAGTGTTTGATCAGACTGATGTTGATGATGTTTCTGCATGTGTTTCTCCTCATCTGTGGTGAGTCTGACACTTTTTATCATTTTTATAATATATATATATAT